CTACTTCTCTCTCTCCTCATTTCTCCATATCGCTTATGCATTACCTTCAGGACTATAGTAGGTGTCATGGATGATAATGGCCTCTTTCCTGGCCTGATGAAATTGGGCGGTGCTGGAGGTGGAACTGTAGAATCATTTCCAGGTATAGAGAAGTCGCCCATTTCATTGTTTAAAATGATTCCTGTACTTGACGACAGTATTTGTGCACCGAAATATCCATTCACAGTAGTAGTCATGGAGACGGCATTTTGCTCATTATCTATGATGGACAAATGACTGGTTCCATGATCATGGATCTGGTTCCACCTGTTGGGAAACAAGGATTAGTATAAACAAACAAAAAGTCTTGGATTAGGAGAATATGTAAAAGGGCCTCTACAAGCACAAGCGACATAGTGAGAGTGAGAGCAAGTTACACAGGGTTTTACTACATTTTTTTTTGGTACACAGGGCTTTACTGCTTCAGTGCAGATTTTGTACATAATTTAGACTAAAATCCCACAACATTCATATCGCAACATTACCATTTTCTATCCATTGTTGACTGCCAATATGAATGAATTAGTAAATGATGAAAAATAGTTTAGTACATCTTTGTAGTCATGCTTGCATACATGTGGATAGCATTCCCTTCAGCTGAAATAGATGAAACTAGACGCATTAGAAGTAAATGGACTTCTAAATGGACGTATAAGAAGCTTGAGTAGCAAATTAAATAGAGACAAACAAACTCAATGTGCCACCATTTTTAAAGATAATTACTTTACAAAGAGATTAAAGTTTTAAACCACTTCGTCGTCACCGAGAAAACGAATTCAGTAATATAATCAGGAACTCATAACATTAGTTCTATGCACATTGAAGCATTGCTACTCAAGTGCATATATGTACTATTCCATGCATTAGCAAGAAAACAGAATTTATATAAATAAATCTTGGACAGAAGTGAGAGAACATTTGGTAACCAAAACAAGAATAATTAGTTAAACGAATGTATAATCTAACAGATAATAAATATTGTTGGCAATGAAACAACATACCTGCCTCCATAATGGCTTGGGTCAAAAGTCCTGTTGTCATATATGGTCTTCTTTAACTCCTCAGCAAACTTAGGAGAAAGCATGTCAGCTAGAACATTAGTCACATTAACGAACTCAGGATCACCAAGATTCATCCTCACCGCGAATACATGTTTCAAGGACTCGATTTCCCGATGGACCCAAAGAGGATCAGAAACTCCAGAAACATTTCCATATTGAGAAAGAATGTTTAGCATCTGTAACAGTGGAATTGAAGTTCTGTTTTTTTTTTTTAAAAAA